GAGAAACCATTGATTTATCTGTGTGTTCTGTTAATCGTTTTGATGACCATCAAGGAATGTACAATTGTCTTTGGGGGAAGAAAATGAAATTTTAAAGGTTTGGGATTGTGGTTGGTACATATACAAATTTTTGTATATAAAACGTTTGGGATCACAACTGCAATTATTCCATCTCAATTTTGTCAATTTCTACTGTGTTTAACGGCTAACTAATGGAATTAGACAGTAGGGATGCGAATCGCACTTCAAAGTTCATACAAGATTTTCTGCACCTAAAAGGTCATATTCCGCACTCAAGGTTTCAAATAGGGACGTTTTTCTGCGATTTTCAATAACTAAGGGGCATATCGCACACTACCAAGCATGTAGATGGTCTATTAATCTATTTTCAATTTCCCCTTCAGCACCAGCTCATAGATTTAATTCTTCTCTCCCTTCCATTCGCAGTCATGTTCAAAACTCTTCAAATTTTGAAGCACAAGCCATTTCGCTAAGACATCTATATTATTAAAATGTAAACCAATTTTAAAAAATAATAATAATAATAATAATAACAACAAAAAATCATTTTTATATTATTGGCCCACTTGAATTCGACATTTTCCAATTTTGGTTTACATACATACATCTATTCGACTTCTAGAAAACAAAAGTATCTACAGAAAAAATATATTATCTCTACAAACTTCTAGAAAGCATTCAAGACATCTAGAGAATTCATCTTATAAACTAAGAAAATTTGAACTAGATTTGATTGCATGTTATATAACTTTACAGACAAAATATATAATCTGCACAAAATCACTGACTCATCATATTATATATAGAGAACAAATTGCATTCTGCTTTCAAATTTAGAATTGCTGTTAAGCGAGGAGCGAAAATTTGATATTCTTCAGTACTATTACAACTTCTTTCATGTTTACCCTCTCATTGGCACTCTCCATGGTGCAATTTAAAGCAAGTTCCATTACGGATGACAAACAATATCTCAACTTCTTTATGTCGTGCTCTTCTTCCCCCCAACAAGTTCGAATTTATAATCCGAGTAATTGCATAAGGCATGGTATCATTTATCCAGGTCCTTAGGTTTAAATCTCCTGAGAACTTTTCGTAGCTTGGTTTCATTCGTGTAAATACTTCCATTAACATAATGCCATAGCTATAAACATCACATTTTATTGACACCGAACCTTCCAATCCATACTCCACATAAAATATTATAAAATTCATTAGTCGTATTACGTTGTTGTTAAAATGTATTAGAAATATATATAAGTTGCATTATGTGTGGTTGTATATTGTAATCTACTATACATCTAAATGTTTATAAAGCATTACTGTGTTTTTGCTTTTGCTAACAATGAATACGAATATTAACAATCTAAACTACCCTTATCCAATCTAATCTGGTGGACCAAACATATCCTAAATGTTCAAGAGAAAGGATTGAAGTAAAAGATAGGAGCTTTACCTGATGTAATGTAACCCAATTTTCCCAGGGTTGCAGTGTATGCATTGTTTTCTCCTTCACACAATAACTTAGCAGTTCCAAAATCACTCAAGTGGGCAACAAAATCTTCATCCAGCAGAACATTACTTGGTTTCAAATCGCAATGAACAACAGGCATTGAGTAGCTATAGTGCAGATATTCCAATGCGTATGCTACGTCTATCATGATGTTAATTCTCTGCAAGATATCCAACACATAGTCATCTGAATACAACCACTTCTCAAGGCTTCCATTAGACATGTACTCAAGCACCAAGGCTTTGAAATTTGGATTGGAGCAAGTACTAATGACTTTGCACAAATTCCTGTGGCGAAGGTTGCGTAATACTTCATTCTACATCAAAACTCTTGAATGCATTTTGTTGTTGCAAATTGAAAACCTTCACTGCCACATCCCTTCCATTATTGAGAGTCCCTTTATAGACAGAGCCCAAACTCCCAGTCCCAAGCAAATGGCTCTCACTATACCCTTCAGTTGCTTGCAAAAGTTCATAATATGAGACCCTTAGAGTTGTGCCAGGTGTAAAGTCTGCTCCATTTTCCACCAAATGTTTCCTTCGGTATCTTCCAATTGCATGCGCCGAGGCCATGACAATTAAATTTAGTACTATAATCCCCAACAAAGAAAATACAACTACAAGCATTGGTTTTCTTTTTGTCTACCAGTAGGACATGATGGGAGACCATATATAGGATCACCACATAATCCTTCATTAGACATGAAGGGTTTACTTGAAAAGTTTTTGAAAGGATCACCAGAAAAAACTTCACCAGTTAAATCATTGAAAGAAACATCCAAGTACATGAGATACTTGAGTGTTTCCAAGGATTTGGAGATATTACCAGAAAGATTGTTATGAGATAGATCTAGTTGCTCCATGCTCAGCATCTTACCCACAGACTCTGGAATAGATCCTTGCAGTGAGTTATGTGCTAAAGAAAGATCACTTAAGGTTTGTAAATCCCAAATTGTGTTTGGAACACTACCTGGCAATCGATTGATGGATAGATCGATAAGAAATGCAAACTTCAGGCTCCCAATTTCTTGCAGGTATGCTGGAAGTCAATCTGTTGGTATCGATATATTTAATATCTACAGCTTGTAAATGAAATGATGAACCTCAATTCTGGAGATTTACTAATGAAATTGTTCGCAGTGAAGTCTACGCTTTCAATGAGTTTTGATATAATGCGAATCAAATAGGAGCTAAATTTCCTCAATTGAGATTTCGATAAATTTTAAAAATCATTCCAAACTCAGGTATTCACAATTGAGATTTTAATGTATTTTAATGAAAATAAATTAAAATCTAGGTATCACCGACTGAGATCTTAATGAATTTCAATGAAATCTTTTAAAATTTAAGTATTCTCAATAACTCTCATACTTTTGAAAGGATTTCATTAATAGAAAAATTTTACAAGATTTGGATGTATTTCGTGCTTAAAAATGCATATAATAAATGCTTTTGAAATTTAAGAATTTTCAATGAAATTTTTATGAGTTTTGTGAAAATCTATTCAAATTCACGAAATTTATTACAATTTTTAATCTTTTAAATTCCATCAAAAATCTAACTTGAGGCACTCATTCAATATCAACAAAGTAAGCCCTCATTTGGCCATCAATTTTTGGAATAGTATTATTTTTTTTGAGAATATGTGGCTTAAAAAAAAAAGAAATTTTTGATTTACAAGTAATATTGTTTTATGAAAGATTGTGTGATTGAAAATAAGAGAAAGAAGAACAAATTTTTGGAACAATGGGGCCAAACAAGGGCTAAACAATTTGACTTTACCATAAAATAATATGAACGTATGCTATAATAGTTTAAAATGATGCAACATCAAACATCAAATCAAATGTTAGCCTGCTTAGCTTTCTTTATTATGTTGAAAAATATTGCTGATTTCAAATAAACCATTGTCATGACTTCACCTTCCTTAAACGGTTACTCATCCCTGTAATTCGAATTAGTTTATAAATAATATGCCTTTGTCTGGGCTCCATTAAAAATGTATTTGTAGCGAGAATACATTTTTGAATTGTACTATTTTGGAGAATGTGTGGTTAAAAAATAAGAAAAAGTTTCAATTTTACGTGTAATATTTTTTTATTGAAAAATGAGTAGTTGAAAGAGAAAAATGTATTTTTGGAGAATGGAGGCCAAATATTGTTGCAAAAAATAATGATAATAATAATAATAATAATAATAATAATAATAATAAATAAATAAATAATAAAATTAAATTGAACAAGACATAATACCAACTTACAAATTTTAGAAAAATGCAAAAAATAAACTTTGATTGAGGTAAGGTTTGATTCATTTTTCTTACGACAAAATTGTATTGTATGGGTTCTTATGATTTTCGGTACATGTCTTTCATGATAAAACAGTCAACTGTTATAATAGTAACGCAGTTTTTGAATTCTTTATGGACTACGAATGAGACTGCAAAATTTAAAATTTACCTGGAATAATATGCTATTGGAGTATTATAGGGTGTAATATGAAAGAGGATGAGAATTGAATGAAATTATGCAAAGATAGAAGGCCACATTATAACTATTGGAAAGTTGTGCTTGAAAAGTCAAAAATGCTGAAAAGCACTTGTAGATGTTTGAACACGAACGTTATAGAAAGCTGATAACACGTAGTGCATTTTGGTTAACTCAAATGGAAGTAATAAAAATATTAAGTACAATAAAATATAAATAAAATTTTATTTTATTCTCCAGAAGGATAGATACCGATTTGGGGAGTTAATTGTCCAAATAATCAGTGAACAAGTGAACCTATGATCACGTCGTTGATTGTTTACTGAAATTTAAGATGTTGAGATTTGATTTCTATATTTATCAAAACGGTCGACATTACAAGCTAGTGTAACTTTTGTTTATAACTTCTAACGAAAGTGGTGACGTGGCAATGAAATGTCCAGGTGTCACCATATCGTCGTTATCATATAAAATACTTTTCCATTATTCACTATACTTTAAAAAATGTTTTCAATTGTTCACTATACATTGAAAAGCATCTTTGATTGCTCATTAAACTTTCAAAGTCGACGAATTTTGGCTACTAAACTTGTGAAAATGAAGTCTAGTATGTGAGCAATCGAAGACATTTTTCAAAGTATAGTGAGCAATCGAAAATATTTTTCAAAGTATTCTGAGCAATTGAACACGTTTTCCCAAAGTATAGCAAGCAATCAAACACCTTTTCAATGTACAATGAGCAATCGAAGATGTTTTCTAAAGTATAGAGAGAAATGAAATACAATTTTTTAGGTGATAACGGAGATGTTGCGCAAAAATTATATTGTGTGGGTTTACATGAATTTCCTGATTTTGGTTTTTATATATATATATATATATATTCAACTTCTAGAAAGCAAAAATATTTACGGACAAAACACCGACTTCTAGAAAGCATTCAAGACATCCAGAGAATTCAACTTATAAACTAAGAAAGTTCGAACAAGATTTAATTGCATGTTATATAACTTGACAGACAAAATATATAATCTCCACAGAATTACTGAATCATCATAGAGTACATAGAGAACACATTGCATTATGCTGTTAAATTTAAAACTGTTGTTAAGCAAGGAGCCGAAATTTGATATTCTTCATTGCTGTTACAACTTCTTTCATGTTCACCCTCTCACTGGCACTCTCCATGGAGCAATTTAAAGCAAGTTCCATTATAGATGACAAACATCTCAACTTCTTTGTGTCGTGCTCTTCTAACCCCAACAAGTTCGAATCTATAATCCGAGTAATTGCATAAGGCATAGAATCATTTATCCAGCTCCTTAGGTTTAAATCTCCCGAGAACTTTTCATCACTTGGTTTCATTTGTGTAAATATTTCCATTAACATAATGCCATAGCTATAAACATCACATCTTATTGACACGGATCCTTCCAATCCATATTCTACATAAACCATTATAAAATTCATTAGTCGTATTACGTTGTCGTTACACTGTATTAGAAATATATATAAGTTGCATTATGTGTGGTTGTATATTGTAATCTACTGTACATCTAAAAATTTATAAAGCATTACTATGTTTTTATTTTTGCTAACATTGAATATGAATATTAACAATCTAAATTACCCTTATCCGCTCTAACCTGGTGGACTAAACGTACCTTAAATGCTTAAGAGAAAAGATTGGAGTAAGAGATAGGGGATTTACCAGGTGCAATGTAACCTAATGTTCCCAAGGTTGTAGTGTATGCATTGCTTTCTCCTTCATCCAATAACTTAGAAATTCCAAAATCACTTAAATGGGCAACAAAATCTTCATCCAGCAGAACATTACTTGGTTTCAAATCACAGTGAACAATAGGCATTGAGTAGCTATAGTGCAGATATTCCAATGCGTATGCTACGTCTATCATGATGTTAATTCTCTGCAAGATATCCAACACATAGTCATCTGAATACAACCACTTCTCAAGGCTTCCATTAGACATGTACTCAAGCACCAAGGCTTTGAAATTTGGATTGGAGCAAGTACTAATGACTTTGCACAAATTCCTGTGGCGAAGGTTGCGTAATACTTCACATTCTACATCAAAACTCTTGAATGCATTTTGTTGTTGCAAATTGAAAACCTTCACTGCCACATCCCTTCCATTATTGAGAGTCCCTCTATAGACAGAGCCCAAACTCCCAGTCCCAAGCAAATGGCTCTCACTATACCCTTCAGTTGCTTGCAAAAGTTCATAATATGAGACCCTTAGAGTTGTGCCAGGTGTAAAGTCTGCTCCATTTTCCACCAAATGTTTCCTTCGGTATTTTCCAGTTGCATACGCCAAGGCCATGACAATTAAAATTAGTATTGTAATCCCAATCAAAGAAAATACAACTGCAAGCATCACTTTTCTTTTCTTTTGTCTACCTGTAGGACATGATGGGAGACCATATATAGGATCACCACATAATCCATCATTAGAAATGAAGGATTTACTTGAAAAGTTTTTGAAAGGACCACTAGAAGGAACTTCACCACTTAAATCATTGAAAGAAACGTCCAAGTACATGAGATATTTGAGTACCTCCAAGGATTTAGGGATATAACCAGAAAGATTATTGTGAGATAGATCAAGATGCTCCAAGCTCAGCATCTTACCGACGGAATCCGGAATAGACCCTTGTAGTGCGTTATGTGCTAAGGAAAGGTTACTCAGGGTTTGTAAATCTCCAATTGTGCTTGGAATACTACCTAAGAATCGATTAAGTGATAGATCAATAAAAATTGCAACCTTCAGTTTCCCAATTTCTTGAGGTAGAGAGCCACTCAAAATATTTGTAGATAGATTCAACACCAAAAGATCCTTCAGATGCCACAGGCCTGCCGGTATGGTGGAAGTCAATCTGTTGGTATTGATATATAGATACCTTAGTGTAGTAATATTCCCTATGCACCCTGGAATAGCACCTGTGATTTGATTTTGAAACAATGTCAATTCATATAAATTGTGAAGTTCACAAAAAGAGTCCGGGATAGATCCACTTATATTATTGTTTGAAAAAGATAATCCTTGAAGCTTTTGCAAATTCACTATGCTTACTGGAATTGATCCTGTCAACTCATTGCCATACAGACTTAACTTTATCAAACTGGTGAGATTGCCTATTTCATTTGGAATGCTACCTCTGAGACCACAATTATACCCATAAAGAGCTTGAAGAGAAGTAGAAAGATTTCCAACTGAAACAGGAAGAATGACATTCAAAGGATTGTTGCTAAATTCCAATTCTGTTAAATATCTACAGTTTGTCAATGAAGTGATGAAGCTCAATTCTGGAGATTCACTAATGAAATTGTTCTTAGCCAACTCTACCCTTTCAATGAAGCTCAAATTCCCTAGGAAGTTTGGAATTTGTCCGTTTAAGCTATTTCTATCCAAAAAAAGAATCTCCAAGTTGGAAAGAGTGCCAATCTCTTGTGGGATTACACCTACAAAATCATAAAGTGCTCAAAAATTAAAAGAAAAAACATTCTTTAAATTTATGTTTAAAAATATAAAGGACAAATGCAAAAGCTGTTTTGAATCTAAGTAAAAGTTACCAGATAGGTTGCAATGACCAATCTCGATAATTTGCAATGACGAAATGTTAGAGATACTGGCTGGTATAGAGCCATTAAGAAAATTGTATCCCATGCTCAACCCCTTGAGGTTCTCCAGGTTACCCAACTCATGTGGAATTGTACCTGTCAAATTGCTAAATCAGAACGAGATACGACAATTACAAAATGTTGATATATAAAACATCAATAATTTGAATGAAGGTCTCTTCGAACAAAAAATTATAGTACTAATGCAACATCAATCCCGATTCGTTTACCGGACAAATCATTGTAACCAATATTTAAATACTGGAGTGTCCTTATTCTCCCAATTTCTCCAGGAATGGATCCACTAAATTTGTTGTATGACAAAGAAAGGATCTGAAGTTGTAAACATTCTGATAGATTGGAAGGAATTTCACCACTGAATTCATTGTTAGATAGATAAAGCCCATGGAGTCTTGGGACGCCATAACATATTTGAAGAGGAAGATTACCAGTCAAGTTGTTCCCTGTAAAACCAAGAAATTCCATTGTCGATATGTTGAAAACCTGCAATGGTACTACACCAGTGAGTCTATTATGTCGTAATGCAAGTGTTTTCAAGTTACGCAGATTTCCAATTTCTTCTGGGATTTTCCCTTGTAGAGAATTAAAAGAGAGATCCAAATACTGTAGCATGGACATATTAGAAACAGAAGGTGGGATGAAACCTGTAAAACTGTTTTTTCCAAGATTCAAAACTTGTAATTTAGGTAAGAAACAAAACCATGAAGGAATTTCGCCACTTAAGTTGTTGGAACCAAAGTGCATGATTTTTAGCCGTTGGAGTTGAATCAACTCTCGAGGAACATCACCAAAAAAATAGTTTTCGCTTAAGTTGATAGAAACAAGGAATGATAAATTTCCCAATTGGGAAGGTATAATTCCCATAAGATTCATGCCAGAAATATCCAGGGCAGTCACTCTTTGGTGGCGAAGACCACAAGTAACTCCAATCCAAACACAAACGGAAGTAAAAGCTGACCAATTTTTCGATAAAATGTGTGAAGGATCTAACTTTATTTGGGCTTTGAAGTTGAGAAGAGAAGATTGATCAGTAGTAATATTTGTTGTTGTCATGGCTTTGCAGGCCATTAGACACTGTACCAACAAAATTGCACGAAAAAGGTAATTAGCCTTCTGCATGACACTTTTTCTTGCTGCACCTAGCAATGCTAGATTGGAGGTATAAATACTAAAAACATACACACACATTTTTTTTTTTTCAATAAGTAGTTAGCCTTCAATTTGCCTCGTGCTTCTCCAACTAATAATCAGGTTCATGTTTCTTTTAAACTTTTTTTATTCATGTTTCTTTTAAACTTTTTTTATTCAAATTCATTTTAAACCACACGGTCTATCAATAATATAAGGAATTTTGCAGCAACAGCCTCAAACTTTTAAAAGCTTTGTAGGTTTTACTATAACATTTCATTTCATTTATTGCACTCGTGATCCTAAATCTTTCAAGTACATGATTAACAAATTGCCACATATACTAAAACGGACTAATAAAGGGGGATTAAAAATCATAGTACATGTTATAATCGATTTTACAAACGCTTCGTAGTTGCTCATTACTTTAGTTAGATAATTAGATATAAAATCACAATTCACAAATTGACTATTTGATTCGAGTTAACATTAATTATAACTAGATTAAGTAGCGAGCACATTATCCTCGTGGAAACAATATTTTATTCACAATTTTATTACTTGGCTGCAATATCATACACTTGTGAGATTTTGTCAATCAATGTAACTGATTTCATTTCTTTCATAATGAGCTCCTACGTTATTTGTGGTCATGGATTGAATGGAATTTTGTGTGCGTCAAGTTTTTTTAGTCCATTCAGATATTAAATGTCATTCCACCAAATGAACAATAAGAGCGTTGTTAAAATGCATTACTCATGACTACTTATCTATATTTGTCTATTTTGCGCAAGTCTCTCTCCATTTATTTTGTTCTTTTAGAAAATTGAAAAACTATTTGCCTTCTCATCAATCCTTCATGGTGGTAGAATATTTATTAATACAAAATAATAATTAAACAATACAAAATTCATGGGAGTGTATGGACTTCGCGTGAATGAAATATAGTTCAAAAGACCTAACCAATTGAGAAGACTGTGAGTTGAGGAGTTCAAAATGATCAAAACTCATTTTCGTGCTAGTCATGCTTTGCCCTGAAATACCCATTGTACTTGTATATGATTTGAGGAATATAATTTTACATTTACCGATTAAAAAAATAATAATAAATAAATAGATATCAAGTTCCCAATATGACTCCTAGCCGGGAAAAAAGTCTGGACAGCTGCCTCATTTGACTTGTAGATACGGAAAATTAATTACTAATGCGTTCAATTTTCTTCTTGTAATAAATATTGTGACCTTCCAGCTGTAGCCTGCAAGGTACTTTATTTCATTGGACCAAATTAATGCTAGGTGTAGAAATAATATTGGTTCCCAAATATCCACTTTTGATGGCCAAAATCGGTGTAGAAATTACCCTATCAAACACACTCAAACTTACACATTTATTTGTCCCAAACAAAATTAATATTTAACACATATAAACAAATAACATGGTCAAATAGCTTACCCTTTGCCTCAAGTCTTGAAATCACTTGAGTAATTCATAAACTACCGCCAAGTTATATCACCTAGATTAATTTATCCACTTATTCAAACTAGATTGATGTGTGTTTTCATAGTCAATTCAATCATGATAAACTTCTAAGATGATTATTTTTCGACCCTCAATGGTCAAATACTTCCTTACTTTTCTTGTAAGATGCACACCCCCAAACATGTTCTTTCTTTTCTCTCCAAGAGTGTAACTTTTAAATGGTGAGTTCTCTTCCCTGATTCCTTTCCCACTCATGTTTAGTTTGACATTAGATGTTTGTTTATTTTAGATATTTGTTATATTATTTAATGTTTTTACAATTTATTAATCACTAATTGGATTGATGTTAATTTTAATTATATTCAAAAGAAATAATAAGGAATATAGCACGTTATAACAATTTTTAGGAGTTTCAATAGGGAATAAAGATATTGTTATGCCTTGCATGAGTTCATTAGGAGTTCTAGTATTTGTAATGAACTGTTTCATAGAGATATTGGATTACCTTTGAGAATATGTTTAATTTTAGTAGATGGAAATTGTTAACTTGATTAACAAAAATAAATATGTGTTGCCATGGTCTTGAGTTATGTTAAAATGGACTAATAAAGGGGAAATCAAAATCATAGTCCATGAAGTAATCTATTTTACAAGCGCTTCGTACCGCTCATTAGTTTAGTTAGATAATTAGTTATAAAATCATAATTCACAAATTGACTATTTGATTAGAGTTAATATTAATTATAACTAGAGTTAGTACATTGTTCTCGTGGGAACAATATCTTATTCACAATTCTATTACTTAGCTATGATATTGTATACTTATGAAATTTTGTTGATTAGCATAACTAATTTCATTTCTTTTTGTATTAAGCTCCAACATTATTTGCAGTCGTTTACCAGATTGAAATTGTGTGCCTCTTCAGTGCAGTTAGATATTAAATGTCATTTCACCAAACGAATGACACGAAAGCATTGTCAAAAGCATTCCCCTGACTGGATCTCTATATTTGTCTATTTCGCTACTCACAAATCTTTTTTTCATTTATTTTATTCTTTTAGAAAAATCAAAAGCTATTTGTCTTTTGTCTATGACACGGATCCATCTATACTTTTTTTTTTTTTTTTTTTAATCAAACTACAATGCTAGCAGAGTATTTGTTAATACAAAAATATTAATTAACCGTTACAAACTTTGGAGGGCTGTACAACTTGACCTCCAACCAGTGAAACATAGTTCAGAGACCTAACCAATCTAGAAGATTAGGAGTTAAGGAGTTCAAAATGATCAGCTTTATATCTTATGAGTTTTTTTTTTTTTTTTTAATGTCACCATATGCCAAATCATAAACTTCGGAGGCTCTTCAATTACCATCGTTGTTGTCCTTTTCAAACTTCTCTTTGAAATGTCATACCTGCCTGTCCTTGTGCTATTACCTTTGAATTTTGTGCATAAAATATAAGTTTGTATTTGAAAAATTGTGAAAGTCGACTAGATGAATTATTTTTATCCGTTCATTGTCGTTGCTAATGAGCTAAATTCTTGACAAAATGTTATTCAACCTTGTACTGATGAGAATGCATAAATTCAAAGATCTAGTGGAATTTTGAAATCCAGAATTAAATAATATATATATATATATATATATATATATATAAAGTAGCTTTATCATGTTTACGCAATTATTAGGTGTTAATATCTAATATTAATACATCAATTGATCATTTTAGTGGCATCATCCTTCAATGATCAATTCACAACCTGTTCACCAATCAATTCAACGTGACTATAAGCCAGTCTTGGGCCTACAACTACCCGGCACTTTCAAGTCATTTGAACTTTCCTTCCTGTAAAATATCATGGCTTGACCCTTTCAACGATCAAATTAAAGCTTCGCTCCTGTTTGGTGTGATTAAAATCAGAATTTTAGCAAATTTTAAAAAAATTTGATAAAATACGTGATTAAAAAGTTGTGAATCCTAATTAAAATTAATTTTTGACTTGGACTTAAATTATAATCTGAATTTTAATTTTTATCAAATTGGGACTTGGTTAAAAATGTTTAATTTTATCCTCTTTGATGCTCATTATTTTATCAAAATTTGTTTTGTATTAGTGGATTCTTGAAGAACTTATGATTGGAAAGTAGGAAAAAGTTTTGGATCACGTGCAAAATATTTTATTGTGAGAATGTGTAGTTAAAGAATAAATTTAAGAAAAAAATGAGTTTTGAAATAATGGGAATCAAATAGGTGCTAAATGTCCTCAATTGAGATTTCGATAAAATTTTAAAAATCAGTCTAAAGTCAGGTACTCAAAATTGAGATTTTAATGTATTTAAATGAAAATCAATTAAAGTTTAGGTGTCCCCAACTCAGATCTTACTGAATTTCAATGAAATTTTTTAAATTTAAGTATTCTCAATAACTCACATACTTTTAAAAGGATTTCATTATTAGAGAAATTTACACGATTTGGATGCATTTCATGCTTAAAAATGCATATAATAAATTCTTTTGAAATTTAACAATTTTCAATGAATTTTTTTTATGAGTTTCGTGAAAATCTATTCAAATTCAAGAAATTCATTACAATTTATAATCTATTAAATTCCATCAAAAATCTAAGTAGAGGCACTCATTGAATATCAACAAAGTAAGCCCTCGTTTGGCCTTCAATTTTTGGAATAGTATTTTTTTGGTGAATATGTGGTTGAAAAAAAAAATTTGATTTACGAGTAATATTATTTTATGGAAGATTGTGTGATTGAAAATAAGAGAGAGAAGAACAAATTTTTTGGAATAATGGGGCCAAACAAGGACTAAACAATTTTACTTTACGACAGCCGACCCTCCCATAGGAGGCGCCACGTGGGTGCCTTGTTTTTGGGCCTATCCCCTGCACTTGACGTTTGGCTTTTTCTTTCTTTATTACGTTGAAAAATATTGCTGATTTCAAATAAAGCATTGTCATGACTTCACCTTCCTTAAACGGTTACTCATCCCAGTAATTTAAATTGGTTCATAAATAATATGCGCTCGTCTGGGCTCCATTAAAAATGTATTTGTAGAGAGATTACATTTTTGAATTGTAATATTTTGAAGAATGTGTGGATAAAAAATAAGAAAATATTTTAATTTATGGTCAACTGTCGTAATAGTAATGCAGATTTTGAACTCTATATGGACTGCAAATGAGACTGCAAAATTTTAAAATTTAACTGGAATAATATGCTATTGGATTATTGTAGGGTGTAATATGAAAGAGGACGAGAATTGAGTGGAATTATGCAAAGATAGAAGGCCACATTATAATTGTTGGAAAGTTGTGCATGAAAAGTCAAAACTGCTGAAAAGTACTTTTAGATGATTGTTATAGAAAGCTGATAACACGTGGTGCATTTTGGTTAACTCAAACGGAAGTAATAAAAATATTAAGTACAATAAAACATAAATAAAATTTTATTTTATTCTCTAGAAGGATAGATACCGATTTTGGGAGTTAATTGTCCAAATAGACAGTGAACAAGTGAACTTATGTTCATATAGTAGATTATTCACTAAAATTTAAAATATCGAGATTTGACTACTAAA